ATATATATATATATATATATATATATATATATATATATATATATATATATATATATATATAACATACTAGACAATGTTTACATACAGGAACATATATAATATATAGTCCGACCTACTGAAGAGGCAGTGTAATTACCTCTCAATCAAATATATTCAGTGCCTTATAAAACTCCCTCCCCAAAGATAAAACACTTGTGTTTTTTTCAGTCTGGTGAATGATATAGAGCATTTGTTACGAAATTCTCTCACTCCTACACAACATACGAGGTCCACCCCTCACTCCTACAGAATATTACAAATACATCACTCACTCCTACACAACATACCAATTCCATCCCTCACTCCTACACAATACTGCAAGTCCTTCCTTCACTCCAACACTACATACCTAGTCTATCCCGAACTCCTACATAATACTACAAGTCCTTCTCTCACTCCTACACAACACACCAAGTCCTTCCCTCACTCCCACACAACATACCAAGTCCATCCCTCACTCCTACACAACATACCAAGTCCTTCCCTCACTCCTACACAACATACCAAGTCCTTCCCTCACTCCTACACAACACACCAAGTCCATCCTTCACTGCTACACAACACACCAAGTCCTTCCCTCACTCCTACACAATACTACAAGTCCATCCCTCACTCCTACACATTACTACAAATCCACCCCTCACTCCTACAAAACATACCAAGTCCATCCCTCACTCTTACACAACATACCAAGTCCTTCCCTCACCCCTACACAACATACCAAGTCCTTCCCTCACTCCTACACAACATACCAAGTGCTTCCCTCACTCCTACACAACATACCAAGTCCTTCCCTCACTCTTACACAATATAATAAGTCCTTCCCTCCCTCCTACACAAAACTACAAGTCCTTCGCTCACTCCTACACATTACTGCAAGTCCTTCCCTCACTCCTACACAAAGTACAAGTCCTTCCCTCACTCCAACACAATACTACAAGTCCTTCCCTCACTCCTACACAACATACCAAGTCCTTCTCTCACTCCTACACCACACTACAAGTCCTTCTCTCACTCCTACACCACACTACAAGTCCTTCCCTCACTCATACATAACACTACAAGTCCTTCTCTCACACCTACACCACACTACAAGTCCTTCTCTCACTCCTACACCACACTAAGTCCTTCTCTCACTCCTTCACGACCCTATATATCCTTCCCTTACTCCTACACCACACTACAAGTCCTTCCCTCACTCCTACACCACACAACAAGTCCTTCTCTCACTCCTACACAGCCCTGCAAGTCATTCTCTCACTTCTTCACGACCCTGTATGTCCTTCCCTTACTCCTACACCACACTATAAGTCCTTTTCTCACTCCTTCACGACCCTGTATGTCTTTCCCTTACTCCTACACCACTACAAGTCCTTCTCTCACTCCTACACAGCCCTGCCATTCTCTCACTCCTTCACGACCCTGTATGTCTTTCCCTTACTCCTACACCACACTATAAGTCCTCCTCTCACTTCTACACAACCCTGCAAGAGTTTCCCTCACTCCTTCACTTTGATTGTGAATACGAAACCATACTTTAAAATTTCATTTGAGAAAAATGGTAAATTTTATTGGACTTTGAATATTGACAACTAAACTTTTAATTAACTTGTTATACCAGGCTAAAACTACATTAATCTTGAGTTTTATTTGACTTCTAGAACACGTTCTTTAGACGAACGTGAAACCTCTAAGAGTTGACCAAGCAAGCTCCAGTGACCTATACCCCATCGGAGAAAATTGTAGATTCTACAAACGTGAGATCCCTCTCCTCCTAGAGTTGACGAAGCAAACTGCAGTGTGAGATTCTACAAAAGTCGTCTTGCTCTTTAACCATTGCTTGAGTACACTGTAGTGGCTCCCCTACAACTCCCAACTGAGCTCCGGCTGCGCGCCTACCAGCCAATCGGCGTACAGCCATCTACGCCGGGAGACTCGGTCTCGTCTCTACCTTCAACCTCTGGTTCAGGATCAGAGCGTTTCACACCTTCCGCTTAAGCCGCTGTGACTGGTCCTCTCGCTACGCTCACCCCAAATCCTGATCCTCGTAAATTGTATAAATACGGCCACGCCTGGCACTCGGCTACTGGACCAGCAACATCTCTCACAGCTCCTCACCACTCGGCTTCCTCAGAAACCTCCTCTCCCTACAGGACCTCTGAGCAAGTTTCTCCTTACCTAGTCACTCCTAAGCACTGCGCTGTACAACAATATATATACGGAAAGCGCATTGTGAGTTTCTGTCCTACCTCATTCATGAGTGGAAATATCTACATGTACGTACGTTTGTCTGCCCATACAAAGAGATAATCGACAACTAAAGAGAATTGACAACTGGCCACATACAGTACGCTACAACACCATCGGAAGAATTACTTGCCTGCTCTAGCGTGTTTAGTGGGAGGTGGATCCTTCCCACAGCTTCAGAGTGGGATTTTTGTTTCCTAGTAAACAATCGTGTTTAACTACAAGTACTTTGTAAATTCAAGAAACTGTTAGCAGGTGGGCTATTCCCGTAAAAAGAGCTATGTTGCACTCTATTCTGTACAAGTAAAGCTATTGTGTAAGTTCGTATTGAGTAAATGTATGTGTGTAACCAATAAAATTTATTAGTTTTAATTTTTTTGTATTCGAATTACATTTTAAGGAAAAATATTAACTTTGTTCTTACTGAATCGAAACCTGGACTACGTCCGCTATTTGCCGAGTTTGTCCCAAATTATTTTTCATAAAATATTAGGTGGTATTAAACGCTTCTACTGATATGTATCTTTAAATATGATAATTACCTTTTCACCACATAGTACACTTTTAATGGACAAATTTAGAAGTTAATGCATTTTTTCCTCTTCTAATCGTTCAAAATACACCTTGTATCAAGAGTGCAATAAACGACTGGTTTGATCTTGGTACTGTAATGTCTAACACCACTACCGCCAGAAATGGTAAAATGCCGAAAATGATAGTTGAAAACTTAACCTAAAAATATGACATATAATCTTTGATGTAAGTATTAATAGGCCACTACAATACTAAATATTGACCAGAAGTCTTATTTAACACGACCACGGTTTGGTAGAAGTTAGAGTAAAATTATCTAAACGGTCACGTAGTGAATTTTAGGATTTTAAGTACTGTATTGGAATCTGTAGTTTAGACAATTCTAAGACATTTCTGTCGAAATGTATATTTTCAGAGCATTTTAATGGATAAAATTGCCAAACATAATTACTTGTTTAACATGGGTAGGGCTTTGAAGTAAAGGAAAAAATTGCACCTAAGCAGAAAATTAAAACCTAGGGTTCAAGAAGCCACAAGCTCAAAAAATTGTCGAAACATTTTTGGAATGTGATTTGTGAACTGAAAAAACCTGCCACTTATGACGGCATAAAGTGTGAATTCAATAAAGACCAGTGGTGCAGATTCTCAAATTTGGAGTCTCCATGCTCGGTAATTGCCAACAGTGCATAACAAAAATGTGACTGACAGCTCAAATGGCAAAGAGGATAAAGTAATGGACCTGTGAGATATAGGCTTGTTTGTGGGGTGGTAAAAGGTTCCATTATTGTTCCGCTCTGACACTTGTAAGTGACGACATGTCTGACATTCCAACCTGTGACTGTAGGGGTGGAGTATTCCTTGCCTGTTAAAGAGATTTTAACGGGTAGTGGTTAAGTAAGAGATTTTGTGGTAAATGAACTTTTGAACAGTCACCCCACTGAAGATATTGAACATGGACTGTCCCAGTTTGTTTCTATTGCATGTTACTAGCAGTGTTCACAGAGAAGAGTCGAGAATTACCGTACCTAAAATTTGAACTGATTACACATTCAATGTTTTTTTTATTATCATGAAGGCAGAACTAAGCTTATTGAATGATGGAGGTCATGGGTTTTAAAAACTGTTCTGTGGGTGTAACTGGTGTGTGAGGTCCCCCTACACCCTCACAGCTGTTTAGATGCATCTTGCATTTCCTGTGTACTCCTCCCTGAATTGTTAGTATTTTAGGTTAAGGAAGAAACAGGATTTATTCAAAGGGCCTTTATTTTCAGATAAAAGAATATTAATAAAACCAACTATGATTCACTTGGGAATTAATGATATGATAATATGAATGCCAATAACCATTCACCACTGGGATACAAGAAGAATGTGAGCTGTATTGACAAAAGGAAAAACAAAACACGACGACATTCCATTCACATGTACCTATAGAAAACCAAAATTTTCGTTTGAAATTCACTTTAAAATGGCTGACAAGCCTAAAAGAGAGAGTTTTGTGGTGCTTAAGAAAAGGACACACCCATTTTAGATTTTGTGGATTATTTAAGCATTTTCGACTTACGACCTGGATTTGGGTCCCTAACCCCGTCGTAAGTCGGGGAGGAGCTGTACTGTATATCATTTCTTAATCTTGATTTGCTATATTTTACTTCCTTTTCTGTATTTATTTATGGTACAATTTATTGACTTTTGCACCCACAGGACCTGATGTGGGTCGGTGACCTGTGCCCAAGTGGGCCAATCCCCCAAAAAAAAGACTGCAGATTCAAGTCAAGAAATGAAAATTTCATCAACAAAATGGAAAACCGAATTAGACCCATGGAAAACACCGGTGGACTTCAAAGTTTTGCCCAACATGCCCCCCCCTCCCCCCCCCGTAGAGCCCTAAGCGCGGGTACCGGTATTTTCTTGTTGGAATTGAGTGAATTACTGCATAATGTACAGGTCCTTGTTCACTTGAACCAGGGTTATGAAACAAGATCAGTGGTTGCTTTTAAATCAAACAATCCTTAAGACAAACAAAAATGTAACCTAAAACTGGTCTGATTGACTATAACCCTTCAGTCATATAACTTGGTTCACAAATTTCATTCCTTACATTCTCCTGCCAACACTTAGAGAGGAGAAAGGGTTTCTAGGTATTTTTTTTTTCCTTCAGCCATTAAATGATTCCATTCTTCAAATCAATGTTTTATTGTATAAAAGTCATTCAACATGCTATAAAGAAGTTAATAAAAAATACAAATTCGGTACTGTATAAGAAAACCGAATTAAAAACCAGAGTTTTATGATGCTGTACTGCATTTACTGATGCAACTATGATGACTTAATTTTTCATTCTCAGTCTGTGACAACTAAATACAGTACAGTATCAAGAATTCCATCTTTTTCTCAAATATGCTTGTAATAACATGTACTGTACCTGACATTCAAACTTAAAAAATAAATGCCTATGAATCTATAATTTAATTACATTTGAATACGTACAATGGATTATTTATATCTATTTCCCAACCCACTTAAAAAATTTACATCGAGCATTAGGATCCCCTTCCTTACCCACACCTCTTGCGCATCCATAAAACTGACGGTTTGTATTTGGTCCCTTTTTTTTAACGGTCATCAAAACGGCAGGTTCTCTGTGGCCTGGACAGAGAGGAAGAGGTTTGGGCCCCTTCATTAGGAAACCCCAACCTGAGTTCTTATTTTGGTTAGATTTTAATCCTGCTTTTGAACAACTTGAATCTGCTGGTATGTTATCTGAGGGAAGATCTTGTGAACCAAAACCTGAATCTTCATCTTGTTCTCTCTTTTGACTTAGATTAACGAGGCGAGTCTCTGTCACCCGTGTACTCGCCGTCGCATTCAACTCTGTACTCTGCTCGTCACATCTGCTGCCTACTGACAAGTTGACGGATACTGTTCCTGTGTTTTGGTTATTTGCATTTAATGTGAAAAAGAAGCTGAGCTTCCTCTGATTTTCTGCACAAACTTTTTTGGTTTTAGGAGGCTTTATTTTGGTATTACTGGTTTTTCGTTTTGCTTCACTCTGTGAAATTCTACCCACAACACTTTCTGTTCTCGAAAATATATGGGAATTCTGATTTGCGTTTCTTTGGACAACGGGCAAGGATGATTTTGGTCGAAAGTACGAGGATAACTTTTGTTGTTCACCTCGAAATTCTGGAAAGAATTTAGTACAACTTAAAGGGAGTTTAGGTGCAGGGACCAACTCTCCTTTAATAACAACAGCCACAGGACAATGATCACTTCCCATTACATCACTGAGAACCAAGCTGTTTTCCACACATGGAAGGAATTCTTCATCACAAAATATATAATCAATCCTTGTTCCATAATTTGTTGATCTGGAATTGGTAAATGTATTCCAACAAGTGAATACATCCCTTTTGTTTGGGTAAAAGTAACGAAATGTATCAACTACCTGAAAGTCTGACCCAGAAACTAGAAGATGATCATCAGATATTTCATCTTCCTCAAATTCTTCGGTGTTTATGGTTTGCCTTTCCCGTTTCGTGTCTGCTTTTCCTTGTTCCTCGATGGTTTCTTTCTTCAATCTCATCTGAGCACTTATATCTGTAGGTATTAAAGTTTCTTCACTTGAACGACAGTTAAATATTTTTAAGCGGCCAAAATCTTTTTCGTCTGGGAAATGTAGAAGAGAAGTACATTCTTTATCTAAACTTTTTTCCTTATTTTCAGTGTCATCTTCCTTCTTGTGCAGGGGTATAAGAAATTTATCCAGGTACCTTCTTCCAAGTCGTCTCTCAAAGTCCTATGTCAGAAAAAACAAGGTTTAGGATCAAAATTTTTTTACATCCAACCATGCAATTGTTTCCTCAAAGCAGGATATCTAATTCAGAATTTTCTCTAAACAAAACACAATAATCTTGAAGAATACCAGCATGCTTATCACTAAAGATTATAATCCTTCTACCTCGTCTTATGAATCCCCCCTATAGTACGCGTAAGTCTCGGTAACTACGTACAAAATGTACTTGAGACTTTCAACACATTCACATTAGTTTTTACATTTTAACCCTTTCAATGGCTACTCGTGTGGTCCAAATCTCACCCGTTATGCATAGATTTTTCTTTGAATTTATTTTTTTTCAGTTACCATTTATGGTTAAATAAATGAAAAATTTTCTTTTTTATTAATTATAAAGATAAACTATCTGACCATGTGCAAAAAAAAAAAATAGCTGTATAAATGATAAGGGATGGCTCAAAATGAATGTGAAAAGTTATTATCTTATGGGCCAGTGTGAGTGCTCAGGGTCATGGAAGACATCTACAGTCCATGTAGTGACCCAAATGGCACATCGGCCAGCAAAAGGGGTTAACTAATCCTTTCAAAGTACTAAATGTGGTACTATTATATATAACACTTATAGCACGATTCATTGAGTATAATATCTGGCGTCGCAGCCTGTGGCTATATGAAGCCAAAAATGAAAATCGTTAGTTAAAACTATAATATAAATAAAATAAAAACCTATTACGTTTAAATATAGAAATTAAAATAAAATAAAATAATTTAGTATTATACTCTTTAAAAATCACAAGTGGTTAAGTACCCCTATTGCAGTTATAATTTTAAAAAGTCCACCATCAGGTGCTGAACTTCTCTCACTGAGCACCTTTGATATGGAGAAGGAGCCATTCCCCTGCTGGCACTCAACCAGAAAATGATTTTTCAAGTCCACATGACTGGGACATCACAATAAGGTTGTGGTCCTCCGGCCATAAGGAAACCGAGGGCGAGGCGAGCGTAGCCAACGCAGACGGGCAAGGGCGGTCTCGTAGCGGTGGGGCATCCGAGAATACCGCCACGGATAGAGCTTCGTCGTATCTCACAACTCGTTGCAAAGTGATAAATTGTCCTACTGCAGCTGTCAGGAGGCCTAGATGGCTAACCTGACTGTGGGGAAGAAATCTCTGTTAGGGAGGGAGCACAAAGGGGCACGATGAGAGGCAGCAGACTCGACAACCTCTCGTTTCCTCGCACAGAGACGTGGGCGGCAACCCGACAAAAATCCACATTATGAGACTGGTGACAGAGGACCACTAGCCAGTTAAAAATACCGTATCTAGAACTAGAGGGTGGATGGGATGGAGATGCCAGAGCTGCTCCGGAGTCAAGAAGAATAGTAAGACTTCTAACATCGCGGGTGCTAATTTCTTTAAGGACTACACGTACAGCAGAGACCTCTGCAGTAAATATAAATGTAAAGGTGGGAAGTCTCCCACCACACCTAAAATCAGGGAAGACGACTCCAAACCTGAAGCCCTCCGTCTGAGCGTTGCGTGTTTTTGGAAATACATCCCGGTCGTCGCTTCGCTGACATCAGCCTTGCTCACTGGGGTGACCAGTAGTTAAGGAAGAGACAAGCTGTCATCCTGCTCCCAGACATGAAAGCCAAAGGATCAAGGAAGGCATGGCCAAAAGATAAATCTATGGCCTATAAACCTATTTGTTTACATATCTATCAATCACTTGCTCGACAACAATTATTTCCAGTTCTGGAATAATCAGAGATACAACTTAAGACACCCAGAGCTACTAAGACCACCTCCCATGTGCTCCTCTCAGTCCCTGGTGTGGCTCACCTGATCAATAAGTCCTCGAGCTCTCCCACTAGGGGGTGGCCACAACAGAAGAGCCTTCTTTGCCCTTTCTATTCCCCCTGTTCTCTCCATAACACAATGTTCCACCATTCCCCTTCACTATATGGACAATGTCCCTCTGTCCAAAACACCTGTTGCATTCTAGGCATGACATTATTAATGTACCTAAACCTTTAACAACTAAATATATTACTGTATAAAATTCTTACCTCAGATTCATCAGGATCACAATGATCAATTCGCTTATGAGATGTGTTTATATCTCCTACTACAACAACGTGACATCCAGTGGCATGAATTGCAGCTGCTCTTTGTCTCAGCAACTCGTAAAAGCGCAACTTGAAAACGCGCCTTTCGGGCTTCTCGGGATCCACGCGGGGGCAGTAAACGTTAATTACGGCAACTTCGTACCCCGTGCCGTTGTTATCCTGTAAATAAAGGGATATTACAAATATAAAATATAAAATTCTTTTATCAGTATTTCTATTTACCATCTGAACCCTTTCCTACTGCTGTCTACAATTACTTTCTACCACTACCCTCTGCTATTTCTCCTCTTTCTCGGAGGTTTCTGTACCCCTCGATTCACCGCACATAAAGCCGAGAGAGAACTAAGGACGAGAGATATAAAGAATAATAATTAATACGATAAAACACAAAAGAAAACAAAATAGTAATGCCACCATCTGTGCCCACACATCCAGCACCTTAAGCAATTGCATCAAACAGGAGTGTCCAGGCATAAAACTATGCTGGCATTCCTTAATGAGGTAGTTCTGTTGTAGACGTTTTCCTCGTGGCAACACACATAATGCTCTATAAAGTACTTTACAAACTATGCTGTACTCACATATGCCACTTGAAGCAAACCATATAGCTACAATAATATGTAATGTGCGCGCGTTTCCGTTTACCAGGGCTGTGGAGTCGGAGTCGGAGGAAATTTCGGCTTGTGGAGTCGGAGTCGGAGTCGGTAAAATTGTCCAGACTCCGACTCCGACTGAAGCTATTCTGTTCCTAAGAACAAATATATGAACTCAGGCATATTCATTGCAGTGATTCCACTGATCCCACTAATTTTCTTAAATTATTAAAAGAATTTATTTCCATTTTATAAGCATTATTATGAATTTATTGTAGCAGGCACAGTATAGCACTATAATTTTGGACGATAGTCTCTTCTTTACCATTTGAAATTTTGAATTATATCAAATTTTGTTTCGTTGAAAACTGCACAGAGGCTCTCAGCTACAAAACAATTAGCTACAACCTGTTTTTGGTGAGATTAAGGCAAATTTAATTTAATAACTTAATCATGTAAGGTTTATCCATTTTCCTTAATAAGGTATTCATTTCTTTAATGTACATAAATATATAACTTTACTTTAAAAGGAATTGTAGGATCATCATTTAGATCCACATCAGATTATGAGCTTAAACAAAATTCATATGCTGAGATCGAACTTTTAGATATACATGTAAATGGTGTTTTCTAGTTAATATCTTGAATTCTTAATAAATTTATTTTTCTTTTGATTGAAACTTTGAAAGTCAAGCCTATCATCTTTTTGTAGTTCTTAAATATCGTCCAGATCATTAATAAAGCTGTAGCAGTATAGCCACGGTGTTTTACTTTTTACCTATGCAGGTTACAACATACAAATTACAATTAGGATGGTAGAAATAGTTGTTACAAATAGGCCAAGGAGTCGGAGTCGGAAGCATAAAAATTTGAGGAGTCGGAGTCGGAGTCGAAGGTTTTGTCTTCGACTCCACAGCCCTGCCGTTTACCCGTATATCTAGGAATATAACGGGGAAGTCAGACTTGTAACCGCATAAGCCAGGGATAACTTAACATCAAGCTACAGTGAGTGACATAGACATGATAAATATTTAAATTGAATACATAGTTTCTCCAGCCTTTATTAGCAATAGCCATATCAATCCGAAACCCATTTTCTTTTTGAAAGTCAAAGGATCTAGTTATGGTTGAAAAGACAGCCTCATCTGAAGCACTGCCACTGTGCCTAGGACCATAACAAATTGGCAGTGTCACATGAAGGAAGTGTATAATAGCCTGCAACTAATAAATAGCAACAGTTTTTATCAAAGGAAACACTTTTATTATGACAGGTTTGCTGTACCTTAATGATGTGTTGTGTAATGACAGCACGACCCTCACTATCTAGGTCTTTCAATTCCTCCTTTGTCCACTCAGCAGGCAGGGCCTCAGTAGTTCCACCTCCATAATGCAACTCTCCCATATAGTGACCTGTAAGGAGTTAAGGAGACATAAGACAACATACACTTGGGATTACAGCCCCTATGTGGTAAAGTGTACGGTAAACCCCCAAATGAACTATTGAAACTTATCAATTATTGTGGTAATAAGAATATAATAATTCCTATTAAATACACCCGAGCGTCGCTTTGCACTAGGGTTACGTTCTGCGAAAACCTCGCATAACTCAAAATTGTATAAAGTGAATTCTTAATCTTGTGGGGAAAATAGGGATGTGTTCCACAACCATTTCTGGAGCTCCCCATCCTTAAATCTGGCACTTTTCATAACACACACACTAAAAGACAACAGTAATGTTATAAGAGCTTTTAATAACATTTTATTACTTACAGATGGTTTTAATGATTTATAGTAGATTTAGAAAAAGCGTAACATAGAGCGAACAGAAAGGCATTGTGGGAGGCTATTAAATGCAGTAAAAGAATTTTATGAGAACAAGTGGGCAACAGTAAGAGTAAATGGGAAAGAAAGTGAAACATTTGAAATAAATGTGGGTGTTAGACAGGGATGCGTTAAGTCTCAGTGGTTGTTCAATACAGACATGGACGTGAACTACTGTACTACACACCGGTGAAAGTGGCGATAATAAGCTTTCTTACAGGGCTGCACACATCTCGGATCCTGATTATAAGGAAGCCAAGTTACCACCGTTCAGTATAACTGGTGACTGCTTCTGTTTATGGATGGGCTCTGAGCCTCAGATTCTAATGTGTTCAGATCATGTATTATATGGGTCCAGGGGAGCCAAGTTGCCACTGCCCATCTCTCTCTTAAATGAAGTCTTTAAAACTTTCAATTATAAAAATGTATTAGTTTTTCTCCAATTTTAAGATTAACTTAAACATAGTTTTTGCATTTAGGCATATACGAAGAGTGGATGATTGATCAATGCTTGTGTTTTTCAAATTTGGCTTTTGCTCAGTGATTTTTGGGGGATGGAAAAGAATACATGCACATGATTGCTAAATCATCCTGAATGTATGATAATGATTAACAGTATATTAAGTTATATGAAGGGCTACACACTCTTAAAACTTATTAAAAACCACATAAAAGCATAAAACCAAGAGAATGACTATTATTTAAACCAATGGTTTTTGCCAACTTAGGTTTTTCAAGGTCACTTTTTGGAGTCCGTATAATATTCTGGATGTGCGGTAATATCTCCGTCAGCCGGAATTCCTCAGACCCGGAACTCTCCGATAGCCGGAATTTTCCGGAAAATTTTGGCTTTGGGAACCATTTTCCGAGGAGCACATTTGAGAGAGTCGCCTCGTTCCCGGAAGTGCTCTGCACCAATTGTTCCGGCTAATGGAGATATCGCCGTTTATGTACCAAGTTGTTAGACACGTCAAATTTCAATTTTGAGATAAAAAGTGTTTTCGGCCATAATCTTGATCGCACCGATTTGTTCAAAATCTCAATACTCTATATATACTTGAACATGTTGATTAAGGATCTGTTGTCCACAATTTGATATCGGTATAGTTACATGGCCAAATGACATCTCGGTTATTTTAATTACTTTTCTACAAGAGCCCAGGTTCTCAATTGGCTCAGCCATGTTAATATTGTTATTATTATCCACTCTGTATCTGTGTTTTTCTGGCTAAATAAACTGTTTCAATTCAATTCAATTTCAAAATGCTAATTACTTGCTGCTTATGTTGCACAGATTGCATCATAGCATTTTTTTGCATTAAGTGAATTGTGGGTAAAAGTAGGGTCCTCACATAATTGCAAATTTGCATACAGCAAGTGCGCATAACGAGGGTCAGGTGAACCTAAATAAGGTAAATATTGTAGGTAGGTAATAATTATCATCAAAAGGTCAACTCCTACACTTACATAAAGTACTACTGTAACACAAGAATTTTAGGTGGCCACTAAAAATTTCCTAATCGTGTTATACTACAAGTCTATACTACTGTACTAGCACAGTACAATTCCAGTTATCCAGAGTCCAGGTAACAAGCAGATTCAACTAACTGCCATCCAAATGAAATAATAATAAAAATAAGTGTTCACACCAAAAAAAGTCACAAAAATCTTTTAAAAATTCAAATCCTCATCATTTAATTACAGTATTGAGATTTTCTCAAGGTAATAAAGAAGTTATCTTCTATAGAAAGTTTTCTTAAGTTCCTAGTTATTTTATTACCTGTATAACAATCCGAGTTATACCAAATAATGATGACACATTTTTCATATTTTATATACTGCTGTACTGTAGAGAGAAAGAGCTTATGTGAACCAAATACTGTACCTGAAAGTCCTTCCTGGGCAGCAATAGGGGAAGCTCGTTCAGAGCAAAATGTGGCTACACCCGAGTACCCACTCCTGTAAAAGGTACGGAAAATTAGATGATAGTCAAATCTAAGATGCTACAGTGGAGTCTCAATGATTCACAAAATACAAATTCTCATTCATAAATTTGAGGAGGCTGTACCTCTATTACTACAATTTTTAACTATTGCGGTCAAATATACATAATTTGTGGTTGAGTGCGTTTGTCATAGTGTTTGTTTTCATAAAAACTATAAAAGTTCTGAAAATATCACTTCATTGCTCTAATTTGCCTCGGAAATAGATAAAAAATAATATGAATATCACTTCAATGCTCCATTGTGACTCAGAAATAGAAAAAAAACAATATAAAACTATAAAATAAGAAACATGAAAAGTAGTCAGTGAATTGTTTGTGGGAAGTAGAGTGGTTGGGAGGTAGAGCAGTCGTGTGGTGGACTGAGCATCCCCTCTCTCCATCCCCTGTTCCCAAGCCGAGTGCACGCCTCCAACCTCATTAATAAAACATTAAGCAATTTCACTATAATTCCCATATTATTTAGGTTCATTTGGTATCTGGTTAAAAAAAAACATTATTTTTTAAGTAAATAAAAAAATAAAAAAAATCCCCAAACCAACCCCACACGAGTTATCGTTTGGAATTAAATACGCATTTCCGACGCCTCTCACACCAGTCGTATACGTCAATGATGCATATAACTGGTGTGAGAGGCCTCGGAAAGGCATTTAAGAAACCCATTCACGTGCGAGGAGCATTGCTTTCGAACGCGTCCCGAATCACTAAAAAAAAAAACGCTGATAGTGTTGTCGTCGCCAGTCGAGCAGCTGCCTGTCTTTATGTTGGTGTATTGGCAGAACCTGCACGAAATTATGAAAAGGAAAGGAGCTGTTTATGTAATATAAGATGACTTTTTCTACAATATCTACGTGTTATTGTATTTTTTATATATACAGTACAGTATGATGTTTAGGGTTCATTAAAGCAGTTTTGGAACAGTTTATGGGCATTTTTTGGCCTCTGGAACCAAACTAATTACTGCATTTCCATTTAAATTAATCGAGCTATAATTTACGATGTCTTCTGGTACCTAACCCAAGAATTATCGAGACCCCACTGTATATACGGTATACATCAAATATTCATCGCCAAATTGTAAGATAATTTTCTGGGGGCAACCATGTTTTGATGAATGACCTATATTCTCTGTTTTATGAACACAGGGACTCCAAAGATTAAGACCAACAACCAGGATTTTATAGATCATATTTTTTCTTATCATTACAGTATTATTATAAAAAATGCCACATGAATTGCTTTAAAGAACATCAAACTCCACCACTCTCTATGTGGCATGCAGTACTGTACTCTCATTCTATAACCTAGGATGACTAGGTTATGTACCTCAACCATTATTTATGTAAACCAAAAAGACATGGTGGGCAGAGGGCAGGATTCTAAAAGGGATCATTGTTTCAATATGTGAAAAGTTATCTCTAATGCATTAAAACAATTTTCTCCATTAAGAGGATGGGATCTCAAGAAAATTAGGTACTTAAATGTGCCCACCTAAAGATTTGACACACCAGCTTAATCCCTGTGAAATTTAAGCACTTGGTCTCTAGCAGGGTGTACAGTATAGTATAGCTTCATGTGATCCCAAAATGCATGGACCCATGGGTCATAGAAAAGAAAGATCCACTCCATATGGAAGATTTGAATGTCTACTTCAGACAGTCTTTGGTCTGACATTTCCATGCAAAGCCATTTTTTTTCTTTTTTTAGTTTGTCAAGTTCATCGGATTTGGACAATTCATTTCATGTTTCAAAGTCCAAGATGTTTAAACCAATTAATAAGTGGCAAAATATCCAGACACAGCAAAGGTTATTCAGTCAAAATGTTTTTTTTTTTGGACATTGAAAGATGTTTTATCCAGCATCAACTGATACTGTACTGTACAGTGGTATGTATCATCACTTCAAGTTAAGGTCTGGGTGGATCTCAGTAGTCACCTCATGTGTCACCAGAAATCTTCATGTACTGTACCCACCTGAAGGTTTGGCACCCATTTAATCCACCTGAAATCTAAGCACGCCAGCAGTACCCATGATGCCTAATCATCATGAGATCCTGGAGATGTGCCCTCATTTAATTAAAATGGCTTTATGCAGCAGTATAAATTTATAAAGGCAGAAGCCAACACATCTCCCTCTCTCTCTTGAGGCAACAATAGCAAGGCCAAAAGGTGCAGTACTTGCCTCTTTCTTGAAAAACTATAGTATGATGAATAACCCTCCACAATTGCCTGGGGTTCTTCCAACTTGTCCCCTGAAAACAGTAAATAATATAAGTTATGTTTCCTGAATATTAACAATACAATTTACAGTGTGCTACTGATTAGAAACCATGATACCAATAACTGGAAAAGCATTTACAAATTAGATAAATTTACAGTAAAAATAACTGAAAAATAGGTAAATTTTACAAATAATTAATAAAAGATAATGCAGAGATTTGAGGCGAATGTGTCGATAAAACACATTTTTATAGAAAATTTAATAGCCTCTGACATGCCAGTGAGAGGCGCTGCCTAGCTACTTGCTGTTACCATCTTTGTTTACCTGACCATTTCTGGGGAATTTTACAATCTTTTGGATTTTATTTTCTAAGAAAAATACAGTATCGTAACTTTGTAATGGGAGTCTATAGAAAAATATGCATAGATTGTGAAAATTTGAGTTACGATGTTTTTCAGGAACGTAGCCCTTTCATAAATCTGGGTTTGGCTGCAGTAATCTAAGTTAAGTTGGGTTAATTAAGCTAGTTTGGCTCATTTATGATCATTAAATTATAGAATGTATCAGTACAGTATCTAGTACACGTACTTCAGGAACCTTAGCAGTTGTCAGATTTCCGAGGTAAGTCACAGGTTCGTTTCGCATTAATTTTTTACGTACGGAAGATAAAAATTAACCAAACCTACCCTACCTAACCTTAAATAATTAGCTATCTTGTAATTTAATTTCCTATAAAAACAGAGCTGGTAAAGTTACTCACAAAAACTAAACCTAGTGGAAAATGCAGCTCACCTACAGTCAAAACAAAAAGAATAGGAAGTGATATTATGCAAAAGAATTTCCGAGTTCACCTTTTTGACAGTTTCACAAGATAAGAAAACTTTATTGCTCTAAAGAGAAATTTCCAAAACTGGACACCATAACTATGCATTGAAAAACAAGATGGCTAGCTTTTCCTTAAGAATGAATATTAGTATGTAGGAAAATACAGCTCAATTACAATCCAATGATACATACTCGAAAGAAATTGTAAATGTATCAAAACCCATATTATGGGATTCAAATCCGTCTACAGTACAGTACTGTATATGAAGTTCATCCTTTATATATAGAAGATGTCTAAAAATCATGTGTGAGAGAAAGAAAAAAAAATGGAATTGCGCAGTCCATAAACATAAAACTGGGAAAGTGAAGCCTATAAAATTTAAGACAAAACACAACCAAGCCAATATTTATGGTAATAAAACATCGGATGTGAGCCTCTCGTTATTTTAATATGTTTACAAAGACCATAGCTATTCACAACTTTATAGTTTAACCCTTAGGCCCCGGGTGACGTTCCAGAACGTCCGCCTATTCCCGCTATGTTTATTGCCGAGTTTTACGAGAAAGACGATCATTCTATCCAATTCTTACATATCCCTGGTCCTTCCACTTCTAAGGTACTGTATTGTACTTTCGGACATGGCGTGCCCCAAAGTTTTAAACTACTGAAACATTTATGTTAGTTTAAGCTAGCCCTACCGTAGCCGGGGGCGGTTAAGCTAGGTTAGGCTTTGTTAGGTTAGAGGACTCGTTTTTGTTTCCTCCCCCACCCAAAAAACCCAATTTCTCAGGCTCTCTCCCATTATTATTGGGGGTTCCATGACAAAACCCCTACCCATTATATGAAAAGTGGACAAAACCCCTACCCATTATATGAAAAGTGGACAAAACCCCAGTCGCGTATAAAATAGTTCATTATAATATTTAATTTTTCATTATTTCATAGATTTGTCAACACAGTAAAAAAAAAAGGCACGGAAAACCAAACCTAACCTAACCTAACCTAACCTAACCTAACCTAACCTAACCTAACCTAACCTAACCTAACCTAACCTACGTGCAATGCCATCATATATATAATGTGTTGTCAATGTGTACAAGTCATGTAACTTTTTTTCCTGTGATATTTCCGTTCATCATTTTCATAAGTGGACCAATACAGTATATTGTAAGTGTCAATTCCCTACAAATGTAAAAAGGGTTTTGTGGAGTGTGAAAAATAAAATGTATATATACCATGTGTTTGCAAAGATAAAAGTGTTTTATTTTATATATGAGATTGGGGTTTTGTCCACTGGGGTTTTGTCCACTGGGGTTTTGTCCACTGGGGTTTTGTCCGTATACCATTATTGGGGGGGGGGGGGTTTAAACACACCAAAATACACTGGAAAAACATATTTGTCAAGTCCTAAAGTAAAAATTCACCTATTAAAGAGCATCAAGGCCAAATGGCAAGTCTGTATTGAGAAGCATTTACAACACATCTTTTTACCTACTTGTTACTTTGGTTTCTTGAAAACATATGATGTCAGCATTTAATGATGACAAAAATTCCTTCATGCCAGTCTTAAAAGATCGAAGTCCATTAATATTCCAGCTCAGTATACGGAACGGCATCTCGAGGTCTGTGTTTAGAAGCCGCGGCTCATGGACTTTGCTTACATACGGCAAAAGCGTGTTCTTTAATTTAAGCTCCAAAAAGTGATAAAACTAGAAAAAAGACTGAGACTTATCAAATTAACCAGAATTAAAATATTTGTTTAATTTGTTTATATTTTTAAGGCATGATATCACTAATATTTGGTGTTATTGGTGTTGCTAGATCAGAATGAATGATCCTGTGTAGATATTTTTTTTCATTGCTCAGCTGTGATATTTTTCTTAAACGGTATATTGTAATTTAATTATTTAGTTTTATTGCGGTTTTATAATTCCCACATATGAAAATGGCTGTAACAGATGTACATAAACGAAAACGGGACATTTTTTGTTTGTATGTTTGAAAACTTACAGGGGGAATTATGTTGATTGATAAGAAAATTTAGACCAAATTAACCAGAGTAAAATCATTATAGCATATCATGTGACAAAGGTGTAATTATCCAGTATGACCCTACCAAACTTTGCAGAGTAAACGCATTGTTGGACTAAAGTGTTTATTATTAAATACAGCCCCAGAAGGAGTAGCTTTGTTAGTTTTATAATGATGAATGTCAAAGTGACCCGGACATGCGGCACAGTAGATCATCTCTTCTCGGTATAATAATGACATCATTCTTTCGGTATTCGTTCCATAAATATAACAATATCATGTCAGTACTCGCACTTTAAGTTTGTATATTTATGAAAGTGCAATTTGATACATAAATTCTATGCTTTTTTTATCTACAAATGCAATTGGAAAACTTATTAATCCTCCTGCAACAAGTGGTCATATCATCTATATTTATGCTTAATTATCCTAGAAAATGGCATTTACTGTAAACCGGGTTAATAGTCGTCTTATTAACCTTAGCTTGATCGCATCATAACCATACGCATTATAAAGGAAAGGCTAAATATAATCGATTATCTAAATTGCATTGTTATGACTAGAAGAGAAAACTCAAATACAACAGAAAGTATGACAAACTCGAGAGCTGCTAAGTAATGGCAACTTAACACTGGTCTGAGACTCCAATGATCCTAACCCCAACCACCGACTCCTAAACTACATAGGAAGTCATATCGATGAAATGAAATGTGATTTTCACCCCTAGCCAGAGTAATTTTTATATATTTGATTACATATATGGATAGGAATAGTCCTGACTGACGTAAATATTAGTATCAGAACATTTGAATTTCAGTAGCTTAAGTTATTTAAGTACTGTACCTTAATGAAAATAAATTAAGGACTAATACAAATAACACAACAATAATAATAAAACTGTACTTTTGTGTATACAGCCTATATATAGTTTCCAATTAGACAGTTCAGGTAAAGAACAACAGCTATTAAATGCTTCTTTCCAACAGGGTCTTAATTATCTAGACGGCATTCTTGGTAAAATCAATTTTACATTTGCTATTATTTGTATACCTACATTAGTTAAGTAAATTATATAAACCAAAGTATGTACTGTATAAATAAATATATTTTCATCCACCTGTTGCAGCTATTCCTTGGGTGTGGGGTGTGGGGTTGAGGGTGTGGGGTGTGGGGGTGAGGGTGGGGGAGATACAGTGCACAGGACCACAGGGCGCAGACTCCACCTGACTCGGTGTGTTGTTTAAATCTGAAGTTCAATGTAAACCCCCACAGTGAAACAATTTCTTTATAGTTTAAGGGAATTGAGGGTGTTCATACGTCACCGATACTATTACAAACAATAGGTGAAGAGTTGAACAGGGTGAGTGAAGCAGTGGTAAACTTTTATCAGTGGTTGGTATCATTAAAAGTTGACTCAGCTGATTCTGACAGTAAATGAAACTGGACTTTTAAATACTTAGGATGAAGACAACATTAAATATTCATAAGAATCATGTGTTTATATATGTTAAGTTCTTTTCCTACTGTGTTTTAGAATAAGTTTATAGACCTAAGAATTCGTGACAGTTGGTTTAATTTAGGAACATGTGACAAATAAAGGGAAGTGGGAAGTGGCCGCCATGGCTATGCGTGTACAGTACTCTGATTTCATGTTTTATTAATAAAATATATTTTAATGCACTTAAGTAATAATGAAATTAAGTTGTATTATTAACAAAGGAATCTTTTAGGCTCACTTCAGTAATATTACTTGTTTTCTGTGGATTATTTTTTCTAAAACGTTTTGATTTAATTTATAAAATACAAATGGGGGAATTACGGAAAACTAATTGGAATTTTCTTAAACTGCCAGTAAGCTATAGATTTTGTGCCTAAAGTGTTTCGGTGAATTTACAGAAACTGTTGTCAGTTTACCAAGACCCAAGGGCATGATGGTGAAGAGGGTAAAAGTAAATGACCTACTTGCAGCTGCCAAAGCAAATTACCTTACATTTCCCTTTCTCCCATCTAGAAATTGTATTCAATACTTTAAAACAAATGTGTAAATGAAAATAGCTAAGATAACAAACATGTCATGAAGGATGCAAGCTTAAAAGACACTTTAAAATTGTAATAAATGTTGCATACTGTAGTTGTAATAGGTTAGGTTAGATAAAAGTTCAGAGAGATTACATCGCTAAATAAGAATTTATTTTTATGCGTTTCATTATTTTTTGGGAGAAGACGGAGAACACAGTTAACAGTAGAAATAAATTATGGAACTGGACCTAAAATTTTTCATACAGAGCTTCATCATCATCATCATTTTATGGCCATTTTCCATGCTTGGTGTCTGTTTTACCATCAGGCAAATTTGAAGCAAACTTTATGGCTGGATGCCCTTCCCATCATCAACCTACTTTTTCGGAGTGGGAAATGGGCATTATATGGTATGTAGGACTTAATTAACATAATTATTGGATATAAAAGTAATATTATACCTGTACATAATAGGAATATACAGGTAGTGACTGTTATACGGTGGATCTATATACGCTCAATCAGTTTTACAATGTTAGAAATTAACTCCATTTACTGCTATGTGATGACTAAGATAGTTTTATGATGGTCGCTACCTGAATGCTTTTCCTGCATTGTTACTGCTATATATAGGTGATGTGTCAGGCTAAGCAGTTGAACTGTGTCACATCACTCAGAGGATGGTTTGTGTGTTGAAGTAGCTAATTTTTTTCATAAAAGAATGCACTGTATACTGTACTGTACCAGTAAATGTGAGGAATAAATAAAAATTATAATAATTTATAAAAGAAAAGAAAAAATACTGTGTGGCAATCTCATCACTACGGGTCTATGCACGAGACTGTGCCAAGATCCCCCGATAAGAGGTGATATGTTACTGTATCTTATCAGTGCAGCAATCTGATAGTAGTTACTGAAGCTGTTACTTAATCTTCTGAAACTTAGCATTATTAACCTACTGGGCATACAGTACATTTGAATATAGTACTTGAGTACTGTATAGACAATGCCCAGGTAATTGGCATTAATCAAAGAAAAATATCTTACTGCTGCTGCTGTGGAAGGTAACATTTGCTTCTGTATTTTATGCCATCCCAGTTTTTCATAATAGGCTTATATCATTCTGAGTTCTGTCATAGGACAGTACTGTACCATCAAACAGAAGTGTTTTTTGTTATTTGGTTGCAAGATGCTTTCTTGCAAGACACCCTTTTTCTAAGGCTTCTTACCTCACTGTATACTGTATTTCGCGAGTAGGTGTACGCATACTGTAGTGGATCCGGTTGTGTTCTTTTGACCAAGCCTGTTTCACAGTTGACAGCAATTAATTAATATGAATATCTTCACCATTGGTGTACCTCATGTACTACATGTTGATGTAGTAATTGTAATATAATGCACTGTTAAGTGCATCTTTTTAAGGCATGGTATGTGTTTATTATGTTGTGCTAATTTCTTATGGTTATTGATAATGAGTACTGTACTGTACAATATTTGGACTAGCCAGAGTTTTGTACAGTACAATACACCAAACATTACTTAAACATACTTCTTCTCACAGTGAACTTTGGTTTCATAAACTGTATTTCTTATCTCCTATGTTGGCTTATATTGTCTTCATTCGGTGTTTTTAAACATGCAAATTAGCTTTTTAAAACTAGGTTAAAATTCAGATTAAAATATATTTTTTTAAGGAACCAGTTGCAGATTTCTTTAGTAACAAGTTAGAACTGGTATTGGTAAGACTATGTTGCCCGAGTATCATGTATTATGTAAAATTATAGCATTATAAATTAATTTTGTAGTGTACATGTACGTATCTACCCAAAATTACGAGTTGAACAATAACACAGCTCAGCCTCACCCGCTGGTGAGGTGGTGACTCGGTTATGCAATTACATGTCATCTCCATGGATATTATTCCTCATTATCCCTCATTTAGCAATCATTTCGTTTCTCAATCGGTTTTTCAGAAACGCATCCCAATTATTAAATGAGGATACCTGTACAGTACTGTATTTTTTTTTTTTTTAAATCTCTGGGTAGGTCTCCTTTGAAGTACTGTACATAGAATTACATATTGTAGTCATACAGGTAATCCCATTCTTGCCCATTTGTTTTATAAATTCTGCTGGAAGCTGATCAACCTCTACTCTATCCTTATCATTGCACTGTATAGTTCTGCCTCAAACAGGATCTTATTGTCTTTGCTTTTAATATTTCCATCCCATTTATTTCCTTTTTTCTGGTTAATCTGATTAATCTTTCTGTACATTTCCATATAATTATACCTTCTGTCATCATCTTAGTCTCCCTTCTAGTACTGTACAGTTTACTTATTCCAGAGAAAAAACAAGAGCCACCAACATGTCCGAAGAGATCAGTAGTGTGCGGCCAAACCCATACATCTTTGATATAGAAAATCGAAGGAAAAGAAAACCTCGGCTAGCACATGATTTAGGGGCTGGAGCCAAGTGCAATAAATGTGGAGATAAATGTCCTGGTTTTGAACTTCACTTTTGGAGGTAAGTGTCAATGGCTCTAAAAACTCAAGTTGTATCAATTGATATCAAAACTTAATGCTAATGCTGCAGATGCTAAACTTGTAGCCTAGTGAGATAATCTATATTGCACTTACCTTTCCTTATCATTAGGGTGTTGCACATTTTGGATTGCATTTTAGTTATACAGTATTGTAATCAATAGCACAAAAAAGGTTTTCCCGCTTAATCAATCGAGTGTTAGTTACTAGAATCCCATGTAGACTACTTTCATGAATACAGTACTGTACATACTGTATTGATTTACAGCATATTGCACTATTAGATCATGTCTCTAAAGTTATGGCCCAAGACAGTAGCATTTACTTAGAATCTTTTTATTGTCTGCAAAACCTGTTAAGCTCCTGAGAGTTCCTTCAATAACATAATTTTTGTTTTATGTTTTTTTATCATTTTTTGTAGGATTCATACTACAAATTGGGAGTGAATATTTCCCCAGTGTAGAACCTGATCTTTGACACAAAGGAGCTTTACTCTCACTTGTCTTTCCTTTTCTTTTAAGCAAACTTATAAAAGGGAGCCACCAAGTGGTGCTCGGGAGGTTATATGATGGTTAGCAGAGAGGAAAGAGATTGTCATTATTTTTAAACAAATGCTTATTATGAAGTGTAACTGCATCATTTTTTGACAGAAACTATGATTCAGACAACTCTGGTTAATGAATGTTGTGTATATTTTAGTTGTGACCAAATTAAATACTGTACTGTAATTTTTGTTTTCTTGGAGATGGTTTTTGTCTTAACCCTTAGGCCCCGGGTGACGTTACAGAACGTCCGACCAGCGCGCCCCGAGTGACGTTCCAGAACGTCCGCCTATTCCCGCCACTATTTTTTTATTATTTTGGGAAAACTTTATTTTTTCTTGATTTATCCCCCCCGGGAGGGGGGGGTGGAGGCTGTCAGCAGCACCCTAACCTGGGGCTTAAGGGTTAAGACATTTCTTAAAACTGCTGTAGAATAATATACTGTAATTGGTTTCTCAGATAAATTTTACATTATACAGTACTCCCACTTATCCAGTCTGCAGTGTGTGTGTGTTTCTGAAAACCTTGGGCAAACAGCGTTTTTCCAACTTACGAATTGAACAATAACACAGCTCCGCCTCACCTGCTCCGAGTGCTACTGGGTGGTGAGGTGGCGACTTGGCTAAACAATTAAATGCCATCTCCACGGATATTATTCGTCGTTATCTCTCGTTTAGGATAATTATTTCGCTCAACAATTGGTTTTCAGGGAATGCATCCCTGTCATTAAACGAGGATACCTGTACTGTACATGAAGCTACAGCAAGGGAAGAGAGTAAGTTTCTATATTATTAAACCATAAAATGTAGAACTGTGGTAGGGATCTGCCAGCCTTGGATAGTCCAAGAACAATGTAATGCTTGTTGAATTCTATCATATAAACTTTCATTAATATTCCCTGCAGACATACTATTACTGATTAGAGACCAAGCATAAGATTAAGCAAAGGACCCTCCTGCAAATAAGCGCCTGGCAGCTTTGTTGGCTATCCTTGGTCAAGTTGCCTTACTGTTTGCCATTGTTGTTTACTTGCACTGTCTCACCACACAGGAAACTGTATACAGGGATATGCCGGTTATCACAATTTTCCCTATAAGAACTAATGTAAATAGGGGGGATGCATTCCCAGCTGGCAACTTTCACCTCACATTTTCTTATATGCAGTACTGTAGCTGTACGTATACAGTACTCCTCATTATCCGAGGCTATTTGGGACCAAGGTCACGTGTATACTGTAGTACTGTACCAATAAGTGAAAGGAATAAATATACAGTTAAATAAAAGAAAAAAATAATAATGCATTGGCAGTTGGCAATACAATAGTTTCACTACACGCAGGAGACTGGAGCGGCTGAGATCCCCAACACTACTCAATCCATGGGCTAACTACCTCACACTTAAGAAATGTTTATTCCCTTTATATACAGTATTTTTTACCTTATTTTTTTATATTTTGCAAATTCTGTATGAACTCTTGTGTACCCGGTATGCATTTAACCGAGTTTAAAAAAAAAATAAGTTACGTACAGTACAGTATATCTACCCGAAATTACGAGTTAACAAATAATCATAACACCTCACAGCTCAGCCTGGTAGCAAGAGGGGTAGGGAGATGTGGCTACAGTGATGAGACTAACTTGGTAACAATGCGACCAGTGATGTTAACAGATGCAAATGAAAAGAAAATTATCTGTAAATTTACATATGTATCAGGTATTTGTAGGTTTAATATGGCATAATAGTGCTTGAGGTTCTGCACTTCATGCTGTATCATAAAGAAAGAATCTAAAGGCATGGTAGGCAAGCCAAGGATGAAGGAGCTTACTGGTAAGGTTAGCCTACCACAAGAATGTACCGGGTAATTAGCGTTCATCTTGACGACCCACGAAAATGCACGAATTTTAACCCCCCAAAATTACTATGTATATATATTTCAACCCCCTACTTTTTGTGTAAGAATTTGAATTTTACTTGAATACGTATACTGTATATGGTGTAATTTTTTTTTTTTGACAGCATGCAGAGATTATATCACTAGTCCTCCACTTCTCATCATCATAATTTTCAAGTAAATTCATCAACACCAAGTTTTTATTTATTACTGTACTGTTATAATTGTTACTCATTTTTGTGATACTTGTGTGTTTTGATGATGATAATCATTTAATACATTGCTTATTTATAGGCCTTTATTGAAGAGATTGTTGGATTCTACCCATCATGAATAATAAGGGATAAGTGTACAATACTATACTATAATGTGTTTCCATTTTACAATATTTACAATTTTAATTGTACAGTACTGTATACACAAGAATATTGGTGTATGTTGGTTCATGTCCAGTATTGTTCGTAGATGTGAGGGACTGTTCTGTGCATTACTGTATAGTTATATCATTGTAGGTGGTAAGTTAACAGTGTGCTTGGTTCATTATCATCATTGTGGGTAATTGGTGGACTGCATTGTTGTTATTATTCTGTGTCTTCCTTGCCCCAAAAATATTCATCTTCCACACTGTTGCCCCAGAATATAGTACTGGATAAGTGGGAGTGTGTACTGTATTTTATTCATGGGTGGCTAACACAGGGATACCCTCAGTTAAAACATTGGTACATTTGTTACAATCTTGAGCCAAAAATCATTTCTTGAGGTAAAGTGCTTCTTCACATGGTTTGATGGCATGCTGTAGTCTTATATTATTATTTAATACGTAGAAAAATCTGCATGAACTGTCGATGTGGGAAGGATGACCATGAAGTAGAGGATGATGACGAGGATATTGGAAGGATTGTCATTGGCAAATTGTTTGACCGACCACCACGCACAAAGAAAGAGGAACTGGAATATTGTCATGGTGGGTGAGACTGCTGTATATTGTTGTGGTATACTGTAGGTACTAGTACAAACATAATTTGGTGGTAATAAGACATTGAAGGGTCAATATTTGTATTGTGTATTAGCTTAAGTTTCTGAACTGTAATACAGGGGGGTGTACTAATTTTCCTTGAAATTTTATGTCATTTTGTTTAGTAAAGGAACCAGTGGAAGCTAAAGCTTAATGTGTTGTGCTGTCCCCATATTTGGATAAAGCTCTTTAATCTGATTTTCTTGTACCTGTATACTGTATACAGTATTTTATTAGCTCCAATGCTGTCATGTTCACAGAGGGTAAGTCTGGTACACGTTTCATCTCCATGGCTGGTTCCTATCCGTCAATGTCTGACTCTCCACCGTAGCTCAGGGTGTCGCTTAGTTCCTCACACAGTGTTGCGAGTGCATCAGAGGACATTTATTTGACGTGGAATAGAACTCCAAATTTGTCACTAACTTCTCCCAGGCTCTGAAATCTTTCGTCAAGTGATGTGATGGCAGAGTCTACCACTATATTGAAAAAGGACACTTCCAACCTTCTCAGAGCACCAGAAATTGACCCATCTGGAGCTTTGTATCCAAACTGCCTCTTTGTCATTTGAAGTCTCTTTCCCTTTAACACAGCCTCCACATTCATCTCCTCACACATGTCCTTAGCTGATGCTTTTAACATAATTTCAGTAAAAATAGTATCTTCCTCTTTCTTCCGTTTTCTTTTCGTGGAGCCTGACAGATACTTTCTTTTGGATGTCATTGAAATTTACATTGGTATCTCTTTCAGTGTAACTGCATCGGTAACCTCGACACAACTGAATGGGTGGGTTACATCACTAACACGATAGCTGAGATGTATCGAGATTGAACCTCTAGTGTTCCTGTTCTGTAGAGTACCATATAGTAGGACTGTATGCATTTGATCACTGACTGTGGCTTCATCTTCCATGTTTCCACATTAAAATATTCTACACCTGTCAAAAGGAAGAAAAATATGCGAGGCTCTGTGAGTACAGCCCTTTAGGTAGTCCAGCTCTAAGTGTGTCTTAAGAGGTGAACTATTATTTTCAGTAGAACTGGACGTGGTTTCGTAGTGTTTGTAAAGGACTGGAGTGTGACAGTGTGTAGTACGGGAAAAAAGTCGGGAAATAAAATACAACAGCAAAACAGGAATTAATTATTATTGTACAAGACAACAGTAATAATGAGATGCTTTATTAGGTGCAAATTTTTGTTATAGGGCTTATAACATGACAGATAACTGAAAAATTTGCACCCAGCCTCAGAGCTTCTGAACTTTATTCCTGAAGAAGGCATCTGAGGGGCCCCTTGATGGGCTTGGGGCCCTAGTCTGCCTATACCTAGGGCCAGCCCTGACACTGATGAATGAGGGGTGTCTCCAAAAACATGAAATCACTTTACAAACGACAAAAATACCCACGTAACTTATGATAAATAGTACACAATTGCTGTAGTTTACTACCTAACATATTAAAAAAAAACATTAAGAAAATACTGTACTACTGTATCTAGATGAAAATATGAAGCTAAAACCCAGGTCGGTGCTGGAGGCTAGTGCAGCGTCCTTTCTGGACGGGGGCCCACTCTAACTATCACGAGGCAACACACGCACGAACACACAGTCCTCGTGATAGTTAGAGTGGGCCCCCGTCCAGAAAGAACGCTGTACTAACCTCCAGCACCGACCCAGGTTGGCTAGAGATTATGGTTTCCGACTGTACGTGTAATGGATTGAAAAAAGTGAAGAAAGTTAAGTTTATTTACTCCAAAATACGAGTTGAATATAACCATAACCCTCTTGATCGTCCTGCTAACTCTCACTGGCACACAAAGAAATGTTTATTCCTTTTATGTTTTTTATCAGCTGTACTAAAAAATTATATTTTGGTAAACTTAATGTGTAGTATGTCTTATAACATATCTATTTCCAGGAAATAATTTGGATGTTGTCAATGAAGAAACAGGTAAGACAGAGAAGATTAAGTTTGACTGGGTCCCACCAAATATTGAAAAAAACTTGGCTGCACGTTACATGGCACTGCTTCCTCCAGAAAAGAGGCCAGTCGCTGGCTCAGAGGTATGGAGCTTTTTATTTTTTTCAAATTCTAAATTACTATGGATGTGATTTTTTTTCATTTTACTATTGGTTTGTTTCATTATTATGATATTTGATTTGATTGTTTTAATAACCAATGGGTTTTCATTAGGTGATAAATGAGATACTATACAGAGTACAGTATACCACAAAATTGCCTCTAGCCAGAGGCAATTTTGTAGTAATGAAATTATTAATAAAAAGTTTCTGGCATTACATTTATGCTTCTATTCAGACTAAACTGTACGTCTTCCAGCATAAGTTCTTAACCCCTCCATTTCCCCCCAAATTTGTACTTACAGTTTCACACATGTGATAGCCCAACCAACACAAACATTTTGTTGATTTAAGGACAAACTTTTAATGTTAGTGCATTAATAGGTTGGAGTTGATGGTCTATGCAGTGTATAAATAAAGTTCTGCTTGTTTTGAATTGTGAATTAGTAGATAAATTTATGTTAACAGTCATGTAATGGATGTACTTTTTTTACAGGCGGCTAAAGAACGTCGAAAACAACTAGAACAGCAGCTGCCTTTGTATGATGTGGATGAGGCTCAGCGGTGTGACAACATGCCTGCTGAGGAGCTTCAGTGCTTCCATGCTTACCTTGAACGCATCAGGACCCAAGTAGCTGGGCAAGGCATGGTTCAAGAAATTGTTGGTGTTCCAACCAGATCAATGGCACAATCACTACTTAATCAACAGCTATATGAGAGTTTCCCACAAGACTCTGGTAAAAACATTGATAACACAACAAATATTGGCAATCACCCTGATGCTTTCGCAGGAAGCCCTTCGGTATATGGAGTCACCCCAGATGATCACATTCTTCGAAATAAAAATCAGCTACATACAGATGACGAGCATTATAGTCAGCCTTTTAGGCAACCGGGAATACAACCAGACAATAAAAGGTCCAGCTTACGAGATAAATTTATCGGAGAAATGATTGGCGACTATGGTGACCCTGTCAATTTCAAGGGAGAGTCAGTGGCTAAGAGTGAGAAGTATGCAGTTGCTCCTCAGACTTCCCAACCTTTAAGAGGTTTGGGTGCTGGCCAAGACTTGGATAGAATTGCAGCTGGTTTGTCCGATTTGGATATCAACAGAAATCAAAAGGTAAATTAGATCTCATTTGAAATTTTTTAATATTTCAGTAATATTGTGGTTTCACATAAACTTATGATAAGGTAATTTGTCTGTCGATATGTATGTTGTGCTATAATTCTTTTGTGATCGCATGTGTTTGTGTGCATGTGTGACCTGTACTTGTCTGGGGATAAAGATTTTAATGATCATTTTTTCAGGAACACTTCCCAAACACTAAACGAGGTATACCTGTACTGGGGAAAAATTCCCGAGTCTAAACGACACATCTCACACGGACTGACACAAAAGCTGTAGTATTTATTTATGCAAATGCCACTGTACACTAATAATATATTGTAAATAAATAATATAATAGGGTCTCCCAGAACAATGTCCCTGCCTTCCTTAACTCACAGTGTCTCAGGGAGTAGTAGGCAGGGACATTTTTCTGGGCCACCCTTTATACTGTACAGTACTTACAAACAGATACTGTCATCTTGAGTCTACAGTAGGCATACACTGTCTACTGCTGAATGTACTGTACAGTACAAGTACAGGGGGTTAAACTTGAAATTTATATTGTTTTATATACCTGATGACTTATTTTTCACTTTCAATTACTGTATTTTGTCATTCTATTTCTTATTTTGTCTTAGATTAAGTGATTTTAGATGTATAGAAGGACTTGGTCTATGATATAGTGGGATTTTAAACATTGTTCTGTAAGTACGGTATGCACATAGTACGTGTTCCGACTTACACACAAATCTGACTCAAGAAAGTCCTCGGGGACCCCCTGTAACGTAATCAGATTTTACGTCATAACACTTGTGGTGGAGGTGAGGTAGGGGATTAGTGGGTCTCATGTTACCAACTTTCTTATGCAATGTCAGGTCAGCCATTGTATATAAGCTCTTAGCTACGAGTGTGCTTGGAAGTTCTACGTATAATGCCCAGGTACCATTATGTAAAGGTGAGTTGGCAATAGGAAGGGCATACAGCCATAAAACTTGTTTTAAATTTGGCTGATGACAACCAGGACACCATGTCATCAGGTAATTATGGCTAACCCACACAAGTGTGGAAAATGTCAGTAAAACAGTGATGATGAATTTTCTTTTCCACTTGTACTGTATGTATTCATTCTTCTTACAGATGGGGGCTACTGGACAAGGTGGTATACCAGGTCATCAATATGCTGGACTGGGTCAAAAGAATACCTTGCCAAGGCCTTACAATGGTAACCTGCCAAGCTATAAAGTAGGCCAGCCAGGTTACATGCCAGGTCAAGAAGGATATGTGCCAGATAATCAAGGTTTCAGACCAGTTCAAGAAGGATATGTACCAGGCCAGCAAGGCTCTATGCCAGGACAGGAAGGCTATGTACCAGGTCAGCAAGGGCTTGGACAAGGTCAACAAGGTTATGTACCAGGTCAACAGGGCCCTATGCCAGGTCAAGAAGGCTATGTACCAGGTCAGCAGGGCTTTCTACCAAGTCAAGGTTATGTACCAGGCCAAAAAGGCTATATACCAGGTCAGCAGGGCCCTATGCCAGGTCAAAAAGGCTACATACCAGGTCAGCAGGGTCCTATGCTAGGTCAAGAAGGCTATATACCAGGTCAGCAGGGTCCTATGCTAGGTCAAGAAGGCTATATACCAGGTCAGCAGGGTCCTATGCCAGGTCAAGAAGGCTATATACCAGGTCAGCAGGGTCCTATGCCAGGTCAAGAAGGCTATATACCAGGTCAGCAGGGTCCTATGCTAGGTCAAGAAGGCTATATACCAGGTCAGCAGGGTCCTATGCCAGGTCAAGAAGGCTATATACCAGGTCAGCAGGGTCCTATGCCAGGTCAAGAAGGCTATATACCGGGTCAGCAGGGTCCTATGCCAGGTCAAGAAGGCTATATACCGGGTCAGCAGGGTCCTATGCCAGGTCAAGAAGGCTATGCACCAGGGAAACGGGGACTCTTACCTGTTCAGCAGGGTTATATGCCCTGTAAAGAGAACAATGTGTCAAGACAACAAGCCTACACCCCCAATAAAGAGACTACAATCCATGGTTACCAGATGGGTGCATCAGAGACCTCTAAGCAGCTGGCTGGGCAAGAAGCTGGCATCCCTCATCTAAGGAGTAATATAGAAGGAGCCCAAGATGTAATGCCTGGCCAACAAGGCAGAATGCCATTGCAACAAATGAAAGCTAAAGATGGGAGTGTTGCTGCTGTAGAAGCTATGCAGGCACCATATGGGGCACGTGTGGACACCTTAACAGGTGAGAATCCTACAAGTGTTGTTAATAACAATTTACATGTAAATGTAGTTCCAACAGCCACTCCTTTCAAGGCATTTGACTTATGAACTCTTCGTTTACTGTATATCATAAAATGCTGCATACATTTATATCATAAAATGCTGTATACGGGGTACAGTATTACTTTCTTGGTTTATTTATATTTGTATCAGAATTAGCTTTTATAGTATACTCAGTACTTCAGTTAGGATTAGGCATAACTTGTTTTAATTTCTATGATAAATGCCACTTTACTTTTTCATCGGTTTTCTTCATTATATGACCCTCTGTATGTATTCAAATTTTTACTTTTTTTCATCACTTATTTCTTCATGTTGCCAAACTAATGTGTCCATCCAGTACTGTATGTGCTTCACTTTTTTAAACTTGCTTCATTATTCACTAGGTCATCATCTTAAAAATATATTTACTGTACAGTGTTTTTGTTTTATAGGAGGGATGTCAGTTGCACCTGGCACTGATGTGACAGTGCTCTTCCCTGGAGAAAGTCAAGTTCTTGGTTCTCAAATTAAATATAGTGATATACCACAGAAGAGCAAATTCTCATGTCAGTATTGCAATCTTCCAATGAATGTTGGTGATGTGGCCATTTTCTGTGAAAGAGCAGGATCAGAAAAGGTAGGCATTTGTACTACATGTTTTATGGGATATTTCTGTACAGTACTACAGTTAGCTTTTCTCTTCTGCTTACGATTGTGTTGTTATATCCATTCACTATTAACTTTATAGGTGTGGTTATGATTCTAATTATTTTAAAAGACAAATTTTGCTGAAGTTAAATTTTTCCTGACAGTGTTGGCACCCAGCCTGCTTCTGTTGCTACACGTGTAAAGAGCTGTTGGCTGACCTCATTTATTTCTACAAAGACGGGAAGGTGTTTTGTGGACGACATTTCACAGATGCAGCTGATATCCCCAGATGTAAAGCTTGTGATGAGGTATGTTTTAGATTTTATCAACCTTCAATTTCAAAGGGGTAATGAACATAATTTTTTTGTTTTTATCCTCTTCACCACTGATCAGCTCATCAGTCACTTGGGCAGTCATTCATATCTCTGTTACTCACTATTGTTAAGTACTGGGCATGTACTGGCTCTCCCAAATGTACCTATGCCTGCGCCAGTGTTGGTCAAGTCTGGTCTTGAATGAGCTCGCGCTCAGTACCGTCACAACACTCCAGTTTCACTGCCTTCCTTGCCTTTCTAGATCTAAATAAACAAACTCGGTACACAGGTAATATTTCTAGAAGTTCAATGTTTTGATACTTAGTCTTCACGGTAACAAGCGTTGAAAAGTCTGTCTCACAAGGTACGAGGAAGAAAAAGGAAGAATCACTCACAATGCTTGCTGACTAGGTAAGTTTTGGATAAACAGGCAAATATTTCATCCAAAACTATTCCAATGGTACGATATTGAAATCATCTTGGGCAGATGAATTGGATTTCATATCCAGAAACTTATCTCCCAAATTCTGAAGGACATCAATAATCAGAGATCTGCACACAAATACTGTATAACTACCGTATAGCTATTCCGGAAGTATTTAAAATAAATTGGAAACCCCCACACTATAATAACACTGTCCCAGCTTAGTCAAGCAGATCTGCAGCTCTGATACGAGTTCAAACATTGGCATTGTTTTCACATCTCATTTTTTATCTTAGTTTTTCTAGTATCTCTTTATCTACGAAAAATGTCATATTATCCTTGTGGGAAACCCCTGAAATAGAATGACATCTCTGACAATATTGCATGAAATTAAGATTAACAAATGTCAAGTTTTCCCTGCCTAATGCTACCATGTCAGTTTTTTAATTATGAATTTATTTAATTGAGAATACATATTTTGAGACAGATTTGAGTGTCAGAATTTCTTGGGGAAAAGAAAATATTTAGTCAAAAGATAATTCTTTTTTCCGTTTCAGCTGATCTTTGGAAATTCCTGGACTCGAGCAGATGGTTTTGACTGGCACATTCATCATTTCTGCTGTAATGTGTGTGATTTACCAATGGCAGGACAGCGTTATGTTCCAGACAAAGATGGTTATCCCTACTGTCTTCAATGCTACATGTCTTGTTTGGCTAAGGTAACTGGCATAGTCATGTAGCAATGGCTCAAGTAGCCAAAATTTGTCACTTGGCCAGAGCAGTTTTCGTTTATGGTACTTTAGTTCTTTTATTGATATTTTATAAAATTTTACTGTGGAACTATGTTTATATACTGTATTGAAAAAGAAGAAAAGGCATTGGTGCTCCACTCTCCCACATAGGCAAATTAAAAGTTTATTACTTGATCTGAATTGCTAAAATTAGATTTCCCCTTGCCATATATTGTATGAACTACCCTGTTAGCCTTAAACTAAGAGTGTTAAACTATCTTTTGGCAGATGTGCGAGACTTGCGAGGAGAAAATACCACCAGAGGAAAACCGTTGTGGTCATCGAGGTTACTTTTACCATGCAAATCCCCAGTGTTTCCGATGCCACTCCTGTAAAGAGCCGCTCCTTGGCAAGAAATTCAAGATGTCCAAGAACTGGCTTTTTTGTTCTAACGAGTGTATACAGGCAGCAGCTGAGGATCTGGCTAACAACCCAAATCCAAAGGAAAAACCATTATAAAAAGAATTGAGTAACTGTTTATGTGATGATGAATGGGGGGTAGTGGGAGGAGAGTCTGTTGTGCTCTTTATTTTGGCTATTCACTGGTGTACTGAAAAGAAGCTTGCAAGACTAAAGAAACTATATATATTTTATTGTAACTCATCATTCCTAGGAGTATTTTAAGGTAAATGAATGTATTCTTATTAATAATAGAAGAAAATGTACTAGCTATAATTGTAAACAAGTGATAGTACAGTATACAGTAAATTATATTAGACAAGGTAATTACTATATATTAATAGATTTAAGTACAGGTTCCCCTCACTTATGCTGATGAGGGTTGCTTTCCTAAAATAGGCCGACCTAAGTGAAACCAGCATTGATACAATACAGGCTTCCATAGTAAAATAGGGAGTATGTTCCTAGCAATAGCCAAAGTCCCTGTTTTTAAAAATAATGTACTTTTGTATTGAAGTTTTCATACATTGACTAATAGTAATTTTAAACTTATATATAAGCAAATTGTATTGAATGAAAATTATAAATGAATTTACTTATCACTACATTCAGCACCTTTAATGACAGAGCTCAGTGGTAGTGATTTGTGGTTTTGGTCAGATCCATGCAACTGATTTTGTTCTAACATGTAAAGTATTTTCATTGTTGTTGTTGTTATCTTGGTTAAGAATATATATATTACCATTATGCTACTGAACGGCACTTATGATAGTGTTTGCATTCCTCAGGCAAATCTGCAGCTATTTCACCATTTTCAAGACTTTAATATCTCCAACTTAGCTTCTTCACTGTTCGTATAATTGTACTTGTAGAAGAGCTTGAAGGATACTTTAGGGGAGACATTATCACTGGCAAAATGCTAAATATGTATTATTGAGAAAAACAATTTTTTATAAAGAACAAGCTCTTGGGGCACTCTAGCAAACCAAATGTTTTCCCCAGATATATTACGTACGAGATACACTCCTATGTATGTGTGAATCTGTTTCTTGCAAAGTAGTCACAAATAAGGGCAACCTGTGTGTGTGTTCCAAACATTTTTTTTTGCTGTAAAATGGATTTAGGGCCAGGATTAGAGGAGCAGACTCAATATCCTCCATATGGTCGGGTTGGAGACGAAATATGGATGTGAAAGGACCAGATTTTAGGAATCTAAGTGTGTATTGAAAGTTGTATGTGGAGTATTTCTATGTGATCGTTCATCCCTCTCCTATCAGTTTCTACATCTTTTTCCTTTTATCCCTCACCTCTCTCTCTTGAGGTCTCTCTATCCCTTGATGCACCTAACACAAAAGTAGGAAAATAGTCAAGATAATTATTAGGTTAGTAATAGACAGGTCTACTGATGCCTAGTGCAGGTATGTGCAGTAACAGTGTGTATAATTTTATATAGAAATGAGATATGTGTAAATCATCATCATCATATGTTGAATAGTTCAGATGGAAGAGGAGAGGTATTCAGAATAGCCAGGCATATACTGTAGTGGGTAGAAACAAGGGTGGTGAAGAACGGCATATAGGAAATGATCAAAGTAATGTGGTTGTTGGTAACAAGGAAATCAATGATACCCGGAGAAAAGACAATGATCAATTACTAAACGAGGAGTGCGAGTGGGACGGGCAGCCTCGGGGTGGTAGAACCAGTACAAAGACCATGCCCAAGGAATGAAAGAGAATTGGTGAAGAAAGTGACCACAAAATGAAGAATGGAAAGGTGGCTGAAAGTTCTGGTATAGTTGCAGAAATGCTTAGAGCATCAGGCAATGTAGGTTTGTCATTGGTGACCAAATTGACTAATGCAATAATAATGGAAGGTATTTACTGTTCACGACTGAAGGATGAGTGGGAGTGTCATTATTTGTAAGTGATATAGCTATAATCCATAAACCTTGTTAGATATGCTTGCTTTTGTTCCATTATACAGTTTCCTTCATGATAGAAAATTACAGTAGTATTTCATACTAGAAGACTGCATCAAGGTTCTTATAGCTTCAGTCATTAGGAATACTGTACAGTACAGTGTAGCTATTTCAGTATAAAAGTTCTTATTTCCATTGTACAGTACAGTACTGTATTATCCTGTAGAAGCAAAGTTTAGAATTTCATGGTTGAGCTGACCCACAGATAGTATAGTACAGTACTTTAAAAAAATATTAAATTCCGACATGCAGAAATTCTAGAAAATGCAAAAATTTTGGAAATATGTGATATGATTTCGTATGAATAAATTTTCAATAAGTAGGTACCATTTCTTTATTTACATCTTCTCGTATTATATTTATGATTTACTGAATTCAATAATTTTTTATGTATTTAATATTTGCTATTATATAGTCCCTTTCATGAGTGATTATGCATTATTTTCCTTTGTTTACCTGATTTGGAAAAGCAGGAATCATAATTACACTTTTTAATGAAACCATAACTGTAATTGATTATGTTAATTTTAAAAGAGACTTGTAATCATGGATTTACAAGGTGGTGTAATCATAATCAATTCCAATTGTGGATGAATCATAACATGTCTGAACGGTTAGCAGTAGAAAATGCTTATCAAATTGCACCAAAATTTCTGGATCCATTATTTGCATGATACTAAACCAGAAAATGGAAACAATGCACAAAACCTGATCTAACCAATCTAACCTTACCTAACTTCCTAACCAAGGGTTCTGCCCCCCAGCATTTTAAAATAGAAATAACTTCTAATATCAGGAAGCAATGAAAGCATTTTGTAATTTTACGTCTTTTGTGGACGTGAGAGTACGATTGATTGTTGTACCGAAATACATATTTACTGTTTACAGTCGGTTCTCTGCCACACTTTGAACGCTTGCATGTCCTGCCAACTAGTCTACATTGACAGATGAAGTCTTGGAGAGGTCTCCATCCTATACAAGCACTGACAACTTGCGGTTTGGCAAAGAACAACCCGCAAAGGATGCCATAACTGTGTAGTTAAAATAGAAGATGGCTTTCTTGTCTCGCATTGTGGAAGAACAATAAGTAGCTATATGAATATACAGTTTGCTTAGAATCCAATGATACTCAAAAGAAATTGTAAATGTATCCAAATTCATACTATGGGATTTGAATCCAACTACTGTATATGAATCTTCTCCTTTATACATAGAATAAGTACAAAAACCATGTGTGTAAAAGAGAAAGCAAAAGGGTTTTGGAGGCCATTAACAAGAAAACTAGGAAATGAATCCGATAAAATAAACAAGAACCAAGCCAATATTTATAGTAATAAAACCCCCGATGTGAGGCTCGGTTGTTAATTGTAAATGTTTACAAAGAACGGAAACACAAATTTATAGTCTAAGAAAGGACTCGAACACTCGACACCACAAACGAAATATCGGGGGAATATTTAACATTAATAATTGCTATTCAGTCAATTTGATCAAGGACAGCTGACTGAGCCATGAGAGGCTTGTTTCCAGTATAGTCCTGCCAGCAGCATAATTTGCTGATCGCCTCGTTCGTCGCTTGGGCAGTCGGTCACTTCTCTGGGCATGCACTAGCTCTTGTTCTGTATCTGCGCTAGTGTTTATCAAGTCTTGAATGAGCTCACACTCAGTGCTGTCACAACATCATCTGGCAGGTTGTTCCAAGAGTACAATTCTACCTCAGAAAAAGTTTGCCCTCACAGTTTTTTTTAGACTTGTGGCTTCTTCAACCTTGAGCTGTGACCCCTTGTGGGGCGGGCGTCCACCAGCTCCAGGTATGGACACTCCGAAATTTTATAAACTTCAATTAGGTCACCCTTTGCCCGTCTTTATTATAAGCTAAGCAGTTGCAGCCGTTCTAATCCCTCCGAGTAAATGAGGTACCGGTATCGTAGTGCAGGCACCAGTCTGCTGGCTCTCCTTGGATATTTTCATTCAACTGATAGTCTCTAGGTCTAGCATATTTCGGGGACCAGACGGGGTGACAGTACTCCAGACGAAGAAGCACCTCACTCTTGAAGAGCATTACGAGGGACTTGACATCTAGATATCCGAACGACCTTGTAAAACCCATTAGTTTAGTTGCATGATTCACCATCTTCTCACAATGGCCAGAGAATTTCAGTTTGTTGTCAACATTTTTACACCCAGGTCCTTTCCACATACGGTCTCTAATAATGCAGTTACTTCGTCCCGTTGGAACATGTGATACGCCTCTTTACTGTTGATACAACCTACTGTAGGTGCATTTTCTTACACTTGGTGACATTGAATCTTAGCAGCCACTTCTTCGACTGATAAAGTTTCCCCAAGTGACCAATATTTGGCTTAATGAATAAAACAGCCCAAGAATTTAAACTATGTAGTGAATGACAAAATAATGTTCCTGGTAAATCACTTACTCTTATAAGCAGCCAGAGACTGGAGGATACCGATCAGTAAAGCAAGACTTGAGGAACCCGGAAGATGTGTAAAAAAAAAAAATCGTTTTCTCTTAGCCTCTCTACACTTCTGTTTACTGATTTTTATAATTTCATCCGTAACCTATTGCTCTGGATATAATAACGTTTCCTTACGTTTTATTGTCAGGTGCTTAAAGGCCGCGATACAGTGTACGCATATCTCCCGTTCTACCCACCAACCCTCACTGTCCATCTCCACTCACTACCAATCTCTTGCCCTATTCCATCCAACTTTGCTCACCCCCTTGACCTACACACCCACTGCTATATCCGTCACTCCTACGAAATTAGCTCCCACTGCCCACATCCCGCCACTGTCTTTTTTAAGATGTGGTAAAATATTACTGGACGAAAAACAAAACCATACAATGGAAGTTAAAGAATGGGAGTAGGAGGTAGTAGAGGACGGGCTGACTTGCTACTGAATATGTGGGTGTGTGTTTGTAGTGGACGTCTCCCCTACAAACTGCGTAGCACCGCCACCACCTGCTATCACATTCCAACGTGCCGTTGCCTAGCAACGAAATTATTCACCGGCGACTTCTCGGGTTTTCCCAACATGACTCATAGCGGCTGCTGGGTATATAAGCTCTGTCTCTCCATTGAGAATTCATTCTGACCATTCTTCTTGAACAAGCAACACCTCCTCCTCTGCCGCTGCCTGGGGGACCTCGCTCCCGCCAGCGAGCATGGCGACCCACCAGCTGTCCTCTGAGCTTCCTCACCAACCAACTCTCATTCTGCCCATTTTCCTGAACAAGCAACATCTCCTCCAGCAAGCTCCTAGCTGTCCAGCATTCATTCAATCAGGAGGCCAGCAACAGGCAACATCTTCTCTAACGAAGCTCCTGCACATCTACCTCCTTCAACACGCTACTCACCGAACGTCTTCTACTGAGCAGCTCCCCACCACACGGCATCTCCAGCACCAGACTGTCTTCATATAACTTATATATTATACAAGAAAACCACATTAGAGTTTCCTTCCATCCTGAGTGCTAGACGGCATTAATATCTCGATACCCCTACAATGGTGACTCCCGGAGATTAGCACTCACACAGGATGGAGGAGACACTGATCACACTCCCAGTCTTCAAGCAGACACCGGCTCCTCTTCCTGCCCCACGCACCACATTCTGACGACCCCAGCACACCCGTCCTGCCTCAGACGCCGACCCCGGCCCAGCAGTACCTGTCGTGAGGGAAGCACACAACATCCATCGCCTCCACACCCCCTCTTTTCTCCCTCAGGTACTCCCTGCTGCTGTCGTGGACCCAGCTGCTGTCACGAGCCCTAATCCGCTTCTGCTGACGCAGCCCCTGCTCCTGACCCAGGCCCACACACACCCCAGCAGGCGCATCTGACGACCCTGTACCTGTCGTGAGGGAAGCACACCAATCATCGCCTCCACACACCCTTTTTCTCCCTTCTCCCACAGATAGTGTGTATCTAGACAGTTGTATTTCAGCGATCGGCTCATCACGCCATCGCCGTTGTCTCACATGAGGCATGCACCGCCCGGTCTGCCTCACATGTGCTAAGCAACTCTACAAACAACAAGTCTCCTACACCGCCTGGAGGGGAGGGGGAGTATTGTAGTGGACGTCTCCCCTACAAACTGCGTAGCACCGCCACCACCTGCTATCACATTCCAACGTGCCGTTGCCTAGCAACGAAACTATTCACCGGCGACTTCTCGGGTTTTCCCAACATGACTCATAGCGGCTGCTGGGTATATAAGCTCTGTCTCTCCATTGAGAATTCATTCTGACCATTCTTCTTGAACAAGCAACACCTCCTCCTCTGCCGCTGCCTGGCGGACCTCGCTCCCGCCAGCGAGCATGGCGACCCACCAGCTGTCCTCTGAGCTTCCTCACCAACCAACTCTCATTCTGCCCATTTTCCTGAACAAGCAACATCTCCTCCAGCAAGCTCCTAGCTGTCCAGCATTCATTCAATCAGGAGGCCAGCAACAGGCAACATCTTCTCTAACGAAGCTCCTGCACATCTACCTCCTTCAACACGCTACTCACCGAACGTCTTCTACTGAGCAGCTCCCCACCACACGGCATCTCCAGCACCAGACTGTCTTCATATAACTTATATATTATACAAGAAAACCACATTAGAGTTTCCTTCCATCCTGAGTGCTAGACGACATTAATATCTCGATACCCCTACATGTTAATGTACCATATATGTTTGGATGATTCTAACGCAGCACTAAAAACAAACTAAACTTTCACCGAATTCATTAATTGCTGGTGAAGAAACATAAGCATACAGGTAATTATATGTCTTTCTGTCTGTGTGTTGAGCAGTGAGGTGTAGCCTATTTAATTTTGCATGTTATTCTTTTATTATGTTTCATGCGTTAATTAATTTAATTTCACTTTGCTTCAGTTTCGTAAAATAAATTAAGTTTAGCTTAACCTGACTCTGTATTCCCAAACATATTTTATATGAAATCCTAAAAATCTTTATTCAATTAAGAGCATTTGCAAAACATTTTAATTAAGAAGTAGTGAATTAACTGAAGGAAAAGAATTTAACTCGCCTAACGAGGATTCGTCACCATGTGTAGCACAGTTAACAAACAGCTCAGTTAGTTATAGGGGTGACGTAACCTGAGGAACTATTAACACCTTACAGCTGTTGAATGAATTCCTCAACCACCCATTGCTTCCATTATACCAAATAAACCTTATACAAGTTATTCTCTCAAACATTAAGGACACTATGGTCAGAGTAATAATCCCTACACAGACTCCTCTCCCAACCTTTTTCAGACTCATCTCCCTCACAGCCTATGTCAGACTCATCT